TGTATCAAAGGAACTTATGTGATTTTAAAATGTTGTGTAGTGTTTGGATTAGAGAGAAGTGTTTACCTGATTGGTTAAGACAAACATAGCTAAGAGTTAGACTTATGACTTTGTGAAACTCACCGAATTTGGTAAAGTGAACTTCAAAAGATAGAAAACTCCTAAAAGATATCTAAAGGTTATGTTTTAGTTGTCATAAGGAGAGACTATTTGTTATGTTAAATGAAATGCTACTTAGGGGTTGGGTCTAAAAGGGAGATATCCAACATGTAGCTTTTGGGATAGATGTTGGAGGATTTTTCTTAGCTTTTGGAGCAAGGTTGAGAAAATTTTCCTACAACTTAGAGGCTAGATGAAATGAGATAAAACCTATAGTTTTGAGGCTAAGGAAATGAGACATTACCTTTAGCTTTTGGAGCTATGAGGAGAAAAATCTCCTACAACTTTGAGATTTGAGGAGAAGAAAATAGACCTTAGACTTTGAGGCCAAGGTATGAAGGAGTTCCCTTTAGCTTAGGGCCAAAAGGAAGAGAAAGAAGATGTCCAACATATAGCTTTTGGGCTAAGTGTTGGAAGATCATTTTTAGCTTTTAGAACTAAAGAAGGGAGGATGTAGGGATCCAACATAGCTTTTGGGCTAAATATTGGAGGATTCTCCTTAGCTTTTGGAGCTAAAGAGAAAGAGATCTCCTACAGCTTGAAAGTCACAGGAGAAAGAAATGAAACCTATAGCTTTTGTGCTAAGGCTAGAAATCTTCTAGAGCTTTTGGAGCCCATGGAAGTGAGGAAAGATTTATAACTTTGAGGCTACAAATCAAGAGGATGTCTCCTTAAATGTATGTATTCAAAGAGAATGAGACACTCACTTAGTTTGGATTAAGCAAATAAAAGATAGGTCACTAATTGATTTTGGTTGAATAGGTGACGAAGATTTGCAACTTCGATGTTAAAGTCAAAGAGTTTATCATTGAATTCGGTGTTCAATGATGGAAGCTTGTTTATTGAATTTGGATAAAACAAACATGAGAACAAGATATATTAGTTTGCTTACACATCATGAGAGATTTTTTGGACCTTTGGGTATCCAAAGAAAGAAGTTCATTTATCCAACTTGGATTGAAAGAATGAAATGGAATATCGAAATATTTGTTGGTTTTGTCTCAATAAATAAATGATTCAGGATGAAACTATTTGTTGATTTTGGTTTAAAAAATAAATGGATTTGATGTAGGTTTGATTTACTTAACGTGGGTTAAGTAAATACAAGAATCTCCTATAACCTTTGAGTTATAGAAGAAGGGAAAAAGTGTGCAAACTTGGAGGTATGCAAACTAAGAATGAATCATTGAATTTTCTCTTCAATTAGAGGTGATTATCTTCCTAATTTGATTAGGTAAATATGAGAAACAACATGCAATTTAGATGTTGCATATTGGAGAAGAGCCTTTGAACTTTTGATTGTTCAAAAAGGAGAAATCTTCCATCCAACTTGGGTTGGAGAGATGAAAGGAGAAAAAATGCAAGTTGTGAGTTGCAAATTCATGAGCATCCTTTGAATAATTGATATTCAAAGAAATCATTCATTTGCCATATTCGGAGCCATGCAAATGGAGGAGGATTTGGTGGCTTTCCTACAATCTTGACTTGTAGGAGATGATGAATAGAATGTAACTTAGAGGTTGCTAAATGGAGGAAACGATTTGAACATTTGATGTTCAAAGAGGGGAGGTTCATTCCTCAAACTTGGGTTGGAGGGATGATAGAGAGGAAGTGCAACTTAGGAGTTGCAAACAATGAAAGATCTCCTTAAACTTTTAGGTGTTCTAGAAAAGAGGTGCTCATTCACCTAATTTGGATTGGGTGAAAGAGAGATTTTCATACAACTTATGAGTTATGAAAAGAGAGGAATTTTTCTACAATTTTGGTTTGTAGAAAAGTGGGAGAGGAAAATACAAGTTAGAAGTTGCAAATCTATAGACACTCTTTGAACATTTGATGTTCAAAGAGAAGGTGTACACTCTCCTAATTTTGAATTAAGAGAGTATACACCTTCTCTTTGATTTACAATTTTTATAATCACTAACTCAATATGATGCTTGTTAATATGTCTATATACAAAAAGAAGAAGATCGGATAGATGATGCTTGTAGGATAACATAGGCAATAAATTTTTTTTGTATTAGTTTGTGTTTACACATTTTAAAAGATATCATTAATGGACTTCTTTTTTAAAATGATTTTTTTGAGTTTTATGGTGAATGATATTATTTTTGTAAATAACTTTAAAGTTTCAATCATCTAATCACAATCCTACTTCAATTTTCCTTCAAATTTTAACGTAGAGTTTGTTCTGCTTCTTCAATTTATTTGAGATTATTTAGATTTTTAATGAATGTTTGACTATAACATGTTATATTTTTTAAATACATCTATAATCTAGTTGCTATTTCAAGAATGTTAAATACAACACTCAACAGAAAATCTTTGTTATGAAGGAAACATATTTTGCATCCAAATCTTGTGTCAAAAACACATTAAAATTAATGATTGTGTGATTTATACTGTCTTGCACCCAACAAGATTATTCCCCTCCCAACCCTATACATACTGCAATTCCAATTTCAAAAAATTTTCATATGTCTTGAAGGAATTTCTTGGCTTACTAAAATTTTTAATACTATTTTGAAGACTAAAAAGTGTCAGATGAGTATGTTAATTCATATTTTTAAGAATAAAGGTGATGCACAAGATTGTGCGAATTATAGAGGAATTAAGTTAATGTGTCATACTTTAAAACTATGGGAGCAAGTTATGGAGCATAGGTTGCGGCGTACCTTTCTTTATTAGATTTAAACGAGAATTTGACCTTTAATAGGACACAATGGAGAAAAAGGATTCATGTAGCCGACCCCACGTAGTGGAATAAAGGCTTGATGTTGTTGTTATTGTTGTTGTTTGTTGTATGATCTTCAATTTAGATTGTGCTTTAAAAAATATATTTTTCCACTAATTATTCCTTATTATTTAGTAGATTAAATATGTATTATAATTAATTAAATGATAAAATAGAACAATATAAGCAACATAATATCAGATACACTTGTATTACCTAAAATACTCTTATATTTATTTTTGGAGTTAACTTTAACACTTATTTTAGCCTTTGGAACTAAATTTAATCAATTTCTAATAGTTTTTTTTTTTTGAAGAAATGCAAATTGCATTAAAAACAATAAAAGAAAAAGCTACAAGAAGAAAACAAACCTATGTGATAGCTAGTCTGTCATAATCCTTCATGATCAAGTTAACAATACTTGATGGAAGGTCGCCCGGAAGAAAAGTATCCAAAAAAAATCACAATAAATGGCATAGTGGGCACAAGCATCCGTTACACTATTGCCCTCTCTAGAACCAAAATGGAAATTTACATTATTAAAAACTTCAAGAAAAGAGAAATCCATACTACTAGCTACATTCTTCAAGTTATTCTTGAGCACCGATTTCTTCAATAAATTGATCACATTGGTGTTATCTACTTTAATGATACTACCTTTGCTTGTCTACCATCCAATCTTTAATTACATCTTTAAAATTGAAAACTGTCGTTAGCTCAAAAAATGATATATCCCAATGCAAAAGCTTCCTTCCATATGCTAGCAAAAATCTTCCTTTATGGTCCCTTAAAACACCTGCTATACTTGCTTCATTATAATTCAACAACGCTGCATCAACATTTAACTTGAAACCAATTTCTAATAGTTAATGGACTAAATTGATGCAATACAAAACTATAGGACTAAATTGAGAATTTATCAATAGTCGGTGGACTATTTTAAGCTTTTACTCTTACAATTGATGTTAAAGGTATGCATAATTTTTCATTAATATTGGAGTACTTATTTTAAAAAATGGGCTAATTTTTCATTAGCTTTGATGTTATCTTGGATGAAGTGTGATGATGGAATTAGCTTTTTTATGTAATCAGGATGTTCTTATAGTTAAAGCTATATATTTACATTAATGTGCTTCCTTGGCTCAAATTGCCAATATTATACTCATTACATTACAAATCACATTCCTTGCAGCTATGCCTCTCAAATACATTTCACCGACAAATTTTATCACAAACTCCAATTTAATCCTATTGAGGGCTTTCAGCCATTAGCTCAAGCGTCTTGATGATTAATATGTTAATAGTGTGATCACAAATCAGCATTAGACTTGTACCAACTATTTGAAGTTAGTTTTATAAATCATCAACCCCAATTCATTTTTCAATTATCTTGTGGTGTTAAAGCTACTTTATGCAATTTTCTCAGCACAACTTCTATACATTTTAACTTTGATTTACACCTCGTTCATCATAATCCTTGCTCGCTAATTTCATTCACCAAATTTACAGGTACATTTTCTACACTTTATAGTGCATATTCAAACCAAATTAGCCCATTTTACATGATTCTATCTTCAATAAATGCAACTCACCAACCATCCCTCTTAATAGTTATTTGCCAATCTATCATTCCTAGTTTTTTCACACATTGATCTAAATATTCTCATTTCTATTGTGCTCAGCGATGCTCTCAAAAAAATTTTATATTCAAAGATGAAATCAGGAACATCTCCAATGAGAAATAGATCAATATTATATCATTAATATATAAAATAAAAAGCATTCCATTCACCAATCAATTATATATCCTTTATAAATCATCAAGTCAAAGAGACTCATTCATAACGCCAGTTACATACAATTATGCTTATTCAAAGCTTATGATAGAATGATGCATGTCATATGGAAGAACAGAGTAAGCAATTTTTTAATAATAACTTAAAAAGCAAGCCAAAAGTATTTAAGTATTTATAAAACATAAAGTGACCAGAATCACTATCTCCTTGTAAATTAATAGAAAGGTTGCAATCAAGAGAAAGAATACTGAAGATACAGAGATAAAGATGGCCCAGCAAGGGAGTATTAAGCATGACGATGAATACAGTACCTCAAGCTCGCTGCATCGTTTCAGCTGGGTATGATATCTTTCTTGATAATCGGTAATTTCCTTCAGCAGTTGTTCCTTCAGGGCATGTTCTCGGCCTTTTGAGGCCTGAAGCTCCTGTTCGACCGAATAGAAATGATCCCGATACTTTTGACGCTCCTCCTCTGCAGAAGCAGCTGGAACTCAGATGGCTAACTTCATACTCAAGAAGATGTAGCACACAAGTGTATAAAAAAACTTGTATGCAAATAAGACAAATTTGAGTTAAATAAGACATCAGCGAAGAGCCTTCAAACTTTACACAACATTACTACCATAGAATTCATAATGCTCTTATGATGCCAAGATACATCGGTCATACCGGTGTAGAAACAATGCAAGTAGAAAGAGAATTTTGGCTAATATAAGAATGCACTAAAAAATCCTTGAAAATTTCAAAAGCACTGCCACAGAACTCGACACAGTAACAGATGTTATCATCATTATCCAAGATGCATCAACCGTACAAAGTATAATAAGTTAAGTGTAACCTTAAAAAAAAAACTGCTCACAATATTTAGTACGGCTAACTTTAATATATGAATACATCATCGTACCAATATATTAGCCCAAAATAAATAATATTTATAAACAAACCAGAGGAAACGCACCACTATTGCATAGATCATTGTTCAAAGTATCTAGTCTAGATTTGAAGTCAAGAATTTGCTTTTCTGCTGTGTTCAAAGCTGCAAAAAACTCTGACTTGACCTGTAAATTTAGAGAATACACTTGGAATAAAAAAAGAAGACTTTTGGATAAAATACAATCAATATTCATCCAAGAGCAACCTAGGACATCTTAGCCAACATAAATTAAACTTTGCAGATGAATACAGATAATATGAAGCTGTTATATTTTGTTACAAGAGTATTGAGTCTTTTAGGAAAGATTGTATATATGTCACCGGAACACTTGATTAGTTAAGGATACGTGAGATGACAATATGCAAGAAGAAACACCAGCTTTTCCCCTATTTTTTCCCAGGAAAAACATTGCGCTCCCCAGGAAAGACAACATGTAATTGGTCATTTGGTTAACTAAAGAAAGCAGCACAAGGCATTTTGTTGTAGAAGACGACTTGCCGCTCTTCATATCTTTATCAAAAAAAACAGACAAATGGAGCAGATATAATGAAAGTGCAAAGGCACTGCGCTAGAACCACTAATGGAAAAAAAAGGGTCAAAGGGTTTGCATTTGTTGACTATATGATAATGTTGAATCAGAAAAAATCCAATCCAAGGGATTCCAACAGCCCTTCTGCGCTTGCTTCATGACTGCACCTTATTTAGAATCTCTCTCCTAAAGAAGTTTCAGAATCCATCTAAACAGCCAAATAACAACATGAAAACAAGGACACAACACCTGAAAGTTGGTGATGCAAAAAATAACCATGAGTGGGACATTAGCAAAATCATTGAAATGATATGCAAATCATTATAAAGAATCATATAGCCCATTCACTTTTCTAAAACAAAGTAAAAAAAATAACCATGTCAACAAATGCATGACTTTTTACAAAAATATCCTAGAATGGTATTTTATAATCAAAATTGCCCACCAACATAGTCACACTAATTTTATGGTAAAAAATCAGCAAGTCTGGAGACAACCCTCTTTAGCTCAAGCCTCAACTCAGATCTTCAAAAATGGCATCGCTATGATCAAAAGAAGCAAATCCAAGCCATTAAAGAATCCTCTACGTTTGGAAACTTTCCCAAGTAATTTTGAGTCCGCCTACTTAGATCACCATTTTCCATTGGTCAATGTGATATCAGGTGTACTTCTAAGGTCACTCTCAAAAGATCTATCACCAATAATGAGATGGGATGTGCCTTATAATCAGGTGAGTTTTTCATCAAATGGCACTACTAAATAAAGATTAAGACTATGGCTCTTAGATAAGGTGGTTTCATTGCAATATGGCATAATTAAATTACAGCCACGACCAAAGCTCATAAATTCCCTAATAGTTTAAACACCCCATAGTGATTAATCATAGAATGCAATTGATCGAGCACAAAGTCCTATGTTAACTAAAATCGACCAAATATTGCCAATTTGGCAAACATTCATTCCAGACCTATAAACTTTTCTTAGATGTCTTAATACATAGCTACCGACAAAGATTATTTGGTCAGGTTCGGTCGGTCATCTTCACTGACTAAATAGACCAGAGTCCATGACAACTCGGGGTAACAAAATCATAGAATATTAATTAGATTCAACATCGTTCTTCTCACTAACCGCTTTAAGCTAAAGTTAATAAATTTTTCAATCATGAATTCAAATTGTTGCTATCATAAACAAGGCATATAATGCACAATGACTAACCTTGATCGAAAGTTCTCCCTCGTTACATAAAGTAATTAGCCATAAAGGCTTGCACCTACGAAAAACCTGAAATCAGATCATAAACTTCTCACAAAATGAGAGAGAAATGTCTTGGTTGTATCTTATCTATAATCCAATTTGCTCTCTAAAAATTTGGCCCAAAACACAACTCTCTGAGAAGAAATGGATGCGAATTTTCGGAATCACAATAGTCACATGTATAGCTATTATTTCAAAACATACAGGTAAAATTTTGTTTGACTTAAGTGTTATCCATTCAATCATCTCTAGGACATTCTTTGGTTTGTTCTTTTACCTCCTACTACATTATATGCTAGTTTCCCAATTACCTACCAGAGATAGTATAGTATCAACTTAAAGTGCGTATATTTATTGTATGAAGAAGGTAAGTTTATTGTTGGCAAGGGCAGATCTAGTATGGGGGCCTTGGGGGCACGGGCCCCCACTGACTGGTCACTAATGCCTAGTTGAGGTTAGTTTTGATTTGCCAAAAAAAAAACTAATTATGGTAATCCTTAATTACCGAATCAAACCGCGCTTCATGCTTACCGCCTAATTTATTTATTTTTTTCCTTCGGTTGTTCCGTGTTTCATTCCTATTCTCAAACCTGCACTTCCTTCCGCCTATCTGCTGTCAATTTTTTCTGGCAGTCATGAAGAATACCCCGCAACCTTGCTTATTTCAGAAAGATATCTCGTCAAGTGGCTCAAATAGGACATGCGAACTACGAAGCGTGGTCGAATGGGAGTTCGCATGGTCGAATGGGGGCTGCAAAAAAGAAAAAAAACAAGCTAATGTAATATTTATATTTATTTTCATTAATTCGTTTTGCTAAGCGGTTCGCCTCTACCTCTAGGGATTTCTTGTTTTCCTTTGCTTGCCATCTCTGCACTGCCGCAAGCCAGAAATTCCCTCAGGTTCTTGACTTTTTTTTATTGTATCTCATGCTCTCTCCACTCTTTCTTCTCCGTTGAGAACCCTAGGTTTAAATTTCCTCATTCATTGCAGCATCTACTTCGAGACCGACTCAAGCTTTTGCCTTTGGCTCCAGTGCCGATGATGAGGAGTTTAGCTTGTTCATCTTCTTCCCAAAGGCAAATTTCTGAGGTGAGAATGCCTTTCTCTGAAGTTAAAACAATTTATGCTTAATGATTTTATTTTTTCCTATATGTTCTTGCTTATTTGTGACCTACTGAGGCTTTCGTTGGCTAGGAATTCTTCACTTTGATTATTTTATGAAAGCTCTTACGGTAGTTTTTTTAAATCTTGTAAATGGTGAATGTTTTCCAGTAGTTGTTCTTTATTTAATTTTTAGCACTTTTTCTAACAGTGCTTAGAAAACATGAGGAGTTTTTAGCTTTTTAATTTTGTATTAAAAGTTGCTTGTTAATATAATTTTTGAATTATTTTAAGATTTAGATTAAATAATATTTATTTTCTATTAATATTTGAAAATTATATTGTCAGATTAGTGCAATTACTTCAATAATTTGGAGTCCTCACATTAAAGTAATCTTGGCTCCATCACATGAAAATTTGTATTTTTTAAATTCAATAATTTGTGCCCCCACATAAAAAAGATTCTGGCTCCGCCCTGATTGTTGGCTAGGAGTGAAGAGATCTATTTCCATTGATATAGCAATGCATTTTCATCCCTGATTCTAGCAATTCAAGTTGATATATGGTCAAAGAAAGGGAGTGTTGTGATTTTAGTCCATGTAGAAGAAGGAAATAAATTAGTAAGTTAGAAGAAATGTCATGTTTTCCCCAGTTCTTAGAAAGGTTCGTTATCCATAGATGGTCAAAGAACTACAGCTAAATTAGACCCCAATGTGAGAATTTTTGTACCAGGCGAAATTCCTGGAAATAGAAGTATTCAAATCCTAAAATCAAACCCTAAAACAAGATAAGAATAAAGTAACCATCGATTTTTCAAAAGACGTGAGAGAATGAGGGTGGATTACCATCTGACGGCAGTGATAGGTGCAGACCATCTCGTCGGATGGTTCGACATAAGGTACAAGCCGGCGATCGGAGACGGGGCTCTCGTGCTCGGAGACTGACTCGACCCTTCTCTTGCGCTGTTGCGGGGTCCTCAGGATCATATTCGAATGGTACCTCCAGGGTTTTCTCCTCGCCCTCTAGATGATTCTCACTCTCCCCAACTTCCCCTCCAACCTTTTCACTTAGGCCTGAAATGATTTGAGGACGATAAAAGTTTCTCAGGGGCTGTTCGACTGCAGTTAGGAATTCGTCTGTCTAAGCAATTTTTAAGTAAAAAATACGTTGAAAGCAGTAAAAAAATAGCATTCAAAAGCTGATCCAAACGGAGTAAGATTTATTAAATCATGTGAATTTGAATTTATCAAATTTTGAGAGAATTAAATTTTAAAAATTATTTAATAATATGGAAATTAAATTTGATTAAATTTTAATGAAATATTTAGCTATTTAATTCAAGATTTACATCCATAACTTTCAAATAAAAATTAAATATTATCAAATTATTTGTTAATATTAATTATTAAGACTAATTTATTTGCATCTATTTATATGATTGATTATTATAAATTTTAATTTAAAATTTCTAATTATATTAGTAACATAATTAATTATTTATTACTTGGATATTAAACTAATGAAACAAAAAAATTTTATTTTAGAAAATAGGCAATATTTTTCAATCATTAGTTGTCTTCTATGTATATATTTTTTTATTTTTTGTCTATGCTTTTTATAGGGGCTTAAGTATGTTTAGGGTTTAACTCTTTTGTGTGTCATTTCTTCATTTGTTACTTTGACTTTACATGAAAAATAGAGTTTCAGCAATACTCTTGTTAAATGTTATATTCTTGTAGGTTATACTTTTCATTATTGCTTAGCATTCGACTAGCTATCCATTGAGCTCAAGCAAATAAAAGAATAGGACATTGTCGTACATTTTTCCAACCCTTGACAGACCTAATCCTGTAAATCCACCGAACTCCTAGATTTAATAAGAATTGAGATAAATTGGAGGAGAAACGAGATTTAAGATTATGTAGAATTTAAAGTTGCTATCTTACTTAAATTCAGCATAAGTATTACATCCAAACAGAACCTTAGGGAATGCTTTGTAGCATAATTAATGCTAAATTTAAATAGGAAGTAAATCCTGTAAAATTGTCAATAAATAGTAAAAATTTAGAAAGATACAGAATTTTAATTTTCATATTTCATCTTTTTTTCCTTAAATTATGGATTTATGGGATGTTTGGTTGGAAATATTTAGGGTGTAATGAAGTAAACTAAATACAAGGGTTTTAAAATTTTAGGTGTTTGATTGATATAAAACTAAAGTAAAATAATAAAGTATTATAAACTCACAATTCACATTATTTTGCACGTAAAGTAAATTCATTCAAACCCTCGTGAGAATGAATTTCAACGAATGCATGCGAGAAAGAAGAGGTTGTGACTTCATTGGATCTCGTCTCCTCCTTCACCATTGCACTAAGGTGCAAAAGTCGCTGCCAATACTCACGAGCTTGTAACTAGAGTTTGACTGTCACAAAACAAAACCGACGAGAGAGCTGCTCGCACCATCACACGGCATGTCACCTTCATTATGTTGTACTCGCGACCTAGCCATGCTCATGACCCGGCAAAACTCGTGAACTACTTCCAATGATACGTTTGAATTCCTTTCATTTTTTTCTATGATTTTCGTGGACATTGTTACATCCAGCTACTCAATCGCAATGAGGTCAGATGTTTATAAGTTCATATATTTATTATTAGGTCATATAAATTGTGAGTTGTCGTTGTTTGAGTCATCGGCCTTCAGTGCCACGAACTTCTCCTTCTTTTTCACTCCTACAACCTATAATCTTTCACTTACATTTTGCTCTCAGGCAATAAGAGAGCCAAGTAAATTATCAATTTAGTAAATATTTAAGCCTTTCAATTCAGAGATAGCAGTGACATTTGCATTAAAATTATATGGCAAACAATTAAGTATTTTGTTAACATTTTCATAATTTGATAGTTCTCTACCTAAGGCATCCATGGATGTCACTATTTTAGTAAATATTGTATAAATGTCATAGATAGTCTCATTTGGCTTCATACAAAATAGTTCGTAATCATGTAATAGTAAGTTTAATTGAGATTACTTGATCTCAATTGTACCTTCTTACGTAATGAATAGTTTATACAAGATTTTCTTGCCAGTCATACATGTAGAGACTCTCATGTAGTCTTCTGATTTAACTGCACAAATAAATAGCTTAAATTTTTCGCATTAAGTTGTGCATAGTCTCTATCCTTAAAACTCCATTCATTAAAAAAAAAATGCTCCTTGATGCCATTAGTAATATTAGACTGAGGTGTATACCCTACTTTGAATCATATGCCATATGTGATATTCAATAGATTGTAGAAACGTAGACATGTAAATTTTCCAAAAATCAAAGAGAATGTTATCAAACAATGGTGGACATGTTATTGAATAAGCCTCCACAATATTTCTATTTCTAAATTATGACATGGATCTTTTTTCTCAAGGATTTTTAAATCACTAATTCAAATACCCATTATAATAATAATTAAAAGTTTAAAATATGTTGTTAAACCTTGTTGAACTACCCTAGGCACATCAAGAGGGAGAGGGGCGTTAATTGGTTATTTAAAATTTTCTTTTTAAATATATTTTTCTTTTTACGAACGATGTTTAACAAAAATACAAGTAGAAGCAAATATTAATAAACCAAATAAAATTTATATTTTTTATTTTATAAAAATGAATAGAAAAATATTTTTATTTCTTTTTTTACTTTCATTTTTTTTCCTTGCTCATATAAATCCATCCAAAATAATCATAATACGGTTATCACGGATTTACAAGAATATAATACTACAAAAATTAAAATATGAAAAATAAAAATGTTAAAGAAAAGAAACAACCGTATCAAAAAAATTATAGTGGTTCGGTCAACTTTGACCTACGTCTACTCCCTGGAGCTCTCGTCTTCTGGTATTGCACTAAATCTTTAGTGACTCTCCTTTCGCCCCCACAACAAGGTAGAGAAGCCCTGTAATATCACTTCCAGCCTTCCACTGTGCAGTTGAGAACCTTTTTTTTTACCCTCTTGATGAGGGAGAGAACCTGGAATCCTTTTTACCCTCCTCGTGAGACAAAAAACCCATAATACTTAGCTTTGAAAATTTTTCCCCTCAGGATTTCCCTTAAGATCAATGAAGACAAGGAGGAACTTAGGTAGAAGCTTGTTTGGAGCAACCACATGAAATCCCCTCACACTACTTATCCCTCATACATACATTCCCCTCCCCCCCTCAAAAGTCCAAAATCTCTCAAGAAGACAAAGCTCTCACATAACTCTCTCATAGAATTCTCTCAACAGCCAAATGACTCTTCTAGAGTCTCTTGAGAAAGTTTAAACATAAGGTATCCAAAAAATATAATTTTTATGTTAGTCATTTTTTATCGTACAGTATAATATGGGATCATATTGTATGATTTGTTCAATACATCTTGTTAGTATTATACAATGAACAAGGGTTTGTATGATTAGTTTAAATATTTGAACTGATCGTCCAAGACAATATCAAGAGTCGGACAATATCAAGGGTCAGACAATATGATTAGTTCAATTGAATAATTTTTTTATCCCAAACGATGGTTGGCAGTTAAATATCATCCCGGGAGGAAATAAGATTATATTATATGAATTAGGACATCTTACAATACAGTAGGAAATCTCAATTAATCCAAAATTAATTGCTTAATTATAAGATTAAATTAGGTAAAATTTAACTAAATTGTACAATACAATCATAATTATATATTACAATTAGTTCTATTTTTTATTTCAAAATATTAACTAATTTATGATTGGCGGTAGAGTTTTTTATTTCTATGGATCATCCTATACGATTTGGATCATACAATATAATTAGTTTAAATTTAAATTATCTTAATTAAATATCCTAATTAATCCATATTTTATCTAGATCATACAGTGTGATACATATCTTATAGTACGAACTTCATAAAAATTAAAAAAATTATTTTTTCTCCCTGGTGTTTGTATACACAGTTGCTTAGATGGCATAAACTTTTACATGGCATTTAACTCAAGAAATATAAAAATAAATAAATTAAATATATACTCTTCTAAAAACATCAATCATATTCTACCTAGTCTTGAGTTGATCCTTTATTACACTGTGTACGATGTACCTGAAATGTTTAATGTTCATACAAAATATATGCAATAATAGTACTAGAAGAAATAAAATAGTAATCAAATAATATTTATTATCATTAAAATCTTAAGTTCGGGATTCTGAATTGTAACATGACTACTAAAGCTCATTCATACCTCAAGACATATCATGAGTTTATCAAGTGGGCTCTTAAAAACCTTATTTTAATATTAAGTACTTTGATCGTTCAATATGATTTACATATAATTTATACTATTAGTTTAATTTTGTAAAGATCATCCAGAACGGTGTACAGTTGTCTAATATAATTAGTTATATCGAATCATCAATCATTCAAGACAAACCAAGGTTAATCCAACGAGTTCTTTGGGGAATTAGACTATATGATCGTTAATGATGATTAGATTAGATTTTATTCCTTAATTATTGTGATTAAATTAGTTAATTTTAATAAGTGTTTGTATAGTACAAAAAGGTTCATATAGTATGATTAATTCAATTTTTAAATTTTAAGTTTTCCTAATTTAATTAACCATGATTAGATGGAAAGATTTCTCAAAATAATGATCATTATATATGTACGATGTAGTGGTCATATAATGTGAGCTTGGGTTTAAATTCAATGTGTGAACAATTTTATGCTATGGGTTTAAATATGCTTAAGTTTTTGTTTGATATGTGTGCACATTTGTCTATCAAGTAATAAAGTGAATTAAGAGAGTGTGGATCCCACTAGAAAGTATTATGTTGATATGCAAGTAAATTAGTATTGCCTAATACAATAATAATGTTTATCCTACTGAAAAAAAGGGTTGAATTCTGTCACTATAGAGGATTGCAAAAGAAAAGATAAAGTACCAAATAACAATATATTTTGGATTAATAAATGCAAATTACCAAAGTTTTCTTAATGAGACTCTCTTTTGTTGATGTGGATCAGAACACTATATCTCTATCAAGCTTGTAGGGATGTAAAGGGAGGTTTATGATATTCTTACAGTAATCGTATCTCTATAGAACTTACAAGGTTAAACATTCTATATCTAGGCATGTAAATATTTCATTTCAATGCTCCTATAGATTCCAATATTTATCTCTTAAAGCAATATATTACACTAGTTTTTAACTACACACATGACCATTATTTGCATTAAATTAAGATTTAAAGATTCTAAAAATATTTATTTATCATTCAAAGCCCAAAACTATATAATTAGCCAAACATGGAATGTGAAGAAAATAAATTATATTTCATTGCTTGTATAAAAGAGAAAATACATGAGTAAATGTTATTTTAGATGTCACCCGAATAGTACAAATGCACTCACCACACTCCTTTCCTCTTATAATATCTGATTTCTTACAAAGAGATAGACTAAAATTCCTAAATATAGTATCATTCTCTTCCATGGCCTCCCTTAGACTTTACTCTAAGGGGGCACTATAGTTTGGACTGAACTTGATGGAATTATGACAAAACTCTCACTCAAATGAATAGAAAAACTATTTATACTTATAAAAAAATAGACTCAAGCACTGCAACACTTGACATGGTGGCGTCGAGGAGTTATAAAATGATCTAGCCCCTTGGTGATATTTGGCTTGTTCCATTACAGTGATGGACTGATTCAGCTCACCCAATGGCTAAAATGGTGCATCATTTGACTAATTTGGTGTTGCTCTATCTTTTATCAACTACTCTATCATAGTGTTCAAGAAGTTGAGTGTTAAGATGCTTGAATGGTGCAGTTTGACTAGGGGTGTTGGTATTTGACACGACCAAAAAATCTAATTCAAACTACGTTCGAATATTTTGGATTAGGGTCAACCCGTTTAAGAAATATGTCAGGTTCGAGTTCAACAAAACTGAGCCATTAAAAAAATTAGGTTGGGTTTGTTGACTCAGAAACTTCAGAATGACCTAGATTAACCTATGTTATTTGCATCTACATGGGTCGCATTTGCCTGCATCGCCGCTGCGTCTACCCATATCAATTCTTCCACTCATCCCTCATTATGTCTGCCCTATGACAAGTGATGATGTCATCGCTGCCACTGGCACACCTCAAAATTTGTCTTATTTTTAATCATCATACTTAAACATGTATAATAATTTAATTATTTAGTTGTATCTATATTTTATATTAAATTATATTAAAAATAATTTATTAAGCAAAATAAGATATATATAAATTAATTTTATCATGTCCCACAATTATTATTATTATTTTCTTTTGGACAGAGAGCAAAAACTACAAGGCATCTATCGTGTAAACGCTGATCCAGCAGAAGAAAACAAGCTTCTCAGCGCTCTAGTCTAATGTTTAGTCAGTCAATTGACCAAAACACTCTCTCACGTATATATCGTGAGATGATGAAAATATCGCGAAAAATCTAGCGCCCGCTACATTCAGCATACCTCTGCAGACGTGGCGGCTGTGATGCCCAGAGGCAGTAGCCGACCATGGCCTGCCTGATAAGAGAAACTGAAAACGAGAAATCGCGACCCGCTCTGCAACTTATCGGACTTCAAACTTTAAATATAAGAAATTCATTTTATTTAGTTCTGAGAGAGATGACTTAAATTCCTAAGAAAGTTGAGGGCAGTAAACTTTATCGTTTTCGGAAAAATCGTGCCCTTCTCTCCTGCTCTTCCAGCTGGAATCGGCACACATCGGATCCGTACAGATCTTTCGAAGTTTTACTCAGCACTCGAATTGTAATCGCTGGTTTTCGGCGTGAGCTGTGAAGGAGATCAGTGTCGGAGCTCAGGTGAATGCTTTCCGTGGAATGCTTTCAGTGTCGGATCTGAAATTTAGGCGGCGGTCTTTCTGAAGGCGTCTCAATATCTTTGAAGTTTTTGACTGAGGTAGGGTTTTACCTCTGGCAAGTGGAATCTTCTTGTATTGAACGACAAGGAGGCTAAGGTTTGCGTTTGCAATGCGATTTTAGGTCTACTTGGGGGCTTGTTGGAGAAATATGTTCTATTCTCAATTTATTTTGGCAAAGAAAGGTCCTTTGGGGACCATATGGATTGCGGCCCATTTGGAGAGGAAGCTAAGGAAGAATCAGGTGGCGGATACTGATATTGGCGTCTCTGTAGGTTGGTATCTTGTAATTTCATTGACTGGACTGCTCTGCCATTCGTTTCTATTTAGTGCTTCCGAGCATTCTTGGTTTATTTTTCAGTTTCTTGCTACATAAGGTTTTTATGATACACCAATGTTTCTTTGTTTCTGCCTTTCTGGCGTGAATTGTAAATATATTTAACATTTTAGTAATTCGTTGTTGTGAAATTAAATATTTTACCAACGTAATCATAATCATTTTGGGAGGCTGTTCTGTATTCGCAAAATTATGGTGAACGCCTTATAAAACCGCCCCAACACTCCGGTCTCTCATTGCAGTCCACCATTAGATTGAATGGTGGAAGAGCGGGAGGGAGAGGAAATGAGAGGAGAGCGCCGTGGTGGCTGCCGCCATAATTAAGGTCCCATCCAAATCACTTCTGTTTCAAGGAGATATTGGAAGTTGGTCCACTTTTCTAGTCACTGCAATTCAATATTATGTGGAGTGGTGAGAATGGAAGTTTTATCTTTTTAGAAGAGAAATGAGAAGATGTTGGAAGGGATGTGAATGTGTGAGATACATACAAGAAGGGATATGAGTGCGAGCGGTTTGTAGATCAGGTCTGAAACGAAATTAGTTTGGGAGATAATAGAGCTAGCATTTTTATGAGAGATACGAGTGCCACTTTTTTTGTTTGAAATTTTGTTGGAGGGGTGGGGACAACATGACAGTCAACACTTGTTGCTCCCTTTTCTTTGCATGGGATAGAGATAGAGATGATGTGTTTTGCTATTGCCTATGCTTAGAACTCATAGTGAATTGGGATGCGAGATGAAAGGAGTTTGGATGGCGTAGGGAAGTAGTTCTTTTCCTCTCCAATTTCCATTTCATTTACATAATGCAATTTCCTTCAATTCTAACTGTGCAATTCTCTTTGGGCAATTAGGATTGATTCTATCATTTTCTTATAATATCACTTTGTTTTTTGTGGAATGGATCCCAACCATCCAAAAGTGGATTGTCATGTTGAGATGGCAGTAGTTTTACCATGTTGTTGTCAAGGTAATTTGATAGGATTTAAAACTATCTAGAAGTATTTCTTGAAGTCTATTCCATCTAATAGTGAGTTGCTATGGAAAGGGGGAGAAAGAGATGTTGTGATGGAAGGGAAAGATATAATATTTTTTGGTTTGGGATTGGTGGTGGGGGTGGGTAGTAGAGTCAGGTGGCTACATTTTAGCATGAGCAATATTTACTAAGGAAGTTTTCCTTCCTTGATTTGAATTATCTTAATATGGTGTCCAACCACATTGCATTAATGTCATCATGATATTTGGTCTTTTGGTTATTTCTTATTTTATGATTAATGCAATACACGGGTTTATATGCAAGGGCTGATTTCGCTTTGTTATATTTCATTTGTACGGTTATTGAATAAAACTATTGTAGAGGAGCTTCTCTCTATCTATATCTCCCAAAATAGGTGAAGTTTTGATCATCTTGGTATCTTAATAAATTTACTATTTAGGCATCTTAATAAATTTACTATTTGACTGTCTTAATAAATTTACTGTTTTGACATTGCAATATAAATTAACTATTTTGGCACTGCAATATAAATTAACTATTTTGGCATTGTATTTAATTTTACTATTGTAGCATTTGCAATCCTTACATAATTTATCATTCAAAATTTTCATTTTTTGTGTCAATTTTTTTCTTTTTTTAAAAAATATGTTCAATTAATATCCTTTAGACTCTTCAGTTTTGAAATTTATTAATACTTATTATATGGTCAGTTTTGGTCTTGCTAGTCTTCAAAGAAATGATTCTGCTTTCTGTCACGACCCGACCCGGCTATCCCGAATTAACGGGCTGGAAGATACAATCGACGGGAAAACATCATAGCATAAACATAATCATTTCATATAAACTTTATAACAGAATTTGAATATCCTCAACACATAAAAAAATGCAATTAAGAAAACATCAATATCATAATTGTCCAAATTTGTTTCTTCTCACACAACTACTAAAAACTTAAATCATCAACAATTACATAAACTCCTACAAGCTACACAAATACAGGTCAAAGACTCAACATAAAATATAAAACATAAAAAACTTTTCTTCTTCTTGAGGTCCTCTACAACTATAGATATACTGCCATCACTTCTTAATAATTTCTCCTGAAAAATATTTTCAAACATAGGATGAGCCAACGCTCAGCAGGTGAAAAATATTTATCTCAAATTCATGAAATATTTTTCTTATCTTTCTTAAACATGTCATTAAACATGAAATAATAAAGATCAGAATAAGCATTTATGCATGAATTTATAAAACAGTTTCAATAATCATTCTTAAGATATTTTCTTTTTTCCATATCATTATTTTCTTTCTTTTCTATAAATTTTCCTTTTACTTAAATCATTTCATTAAATGCATAATTTTTAAAATCATAATATGATAAACACCAGTCCCAAAAGTACTAATGTTTGTACTGATTAGGTACACAGTCTTTTAACAATTTCTTTTACCATTTGGTTCCGAAGAACCCCATTACCATTTAGCTTTTGTAAGCCTCTTTATCATTTGGCTCCGTAGAATCCCATTACCATTTGTTTGACACTTCCAGATCAACATGCACATACACTTTATAATATTTATATTCATCAAAGGATTAGAAACTATTCAATGCATCATATGATCTTTAATGTTTTTCGGATAAAGAAATTTTTGTATTTCTTAAGCATGAAATTGTTTACTTGCTTTAACATTCTAAATAATGTGTCATATGTATAAATAAGAATTGTAAAGCTAAAATAATAATAGAAAATTCATGAACATTAATTTGTAACATTTTAAAAGTGCAGAAATATTTAATTAAATTTTATAAACTCAATTTAAATATAATTCACCTACCTTGCAAGTATCGAACCACCTCCACAACGTTGCACGACATTGTCTAACCACTTGTCATAATTTCGATATAAAGATTTGAGCGAAATTTAAGATTTAGGGTTTCCAAAATTTTGGATTTTAAATAATTCAAAAAAATAATTATGTTAATTATTTTCAATAATTATGATGTGTGCTTAGTTCAATTGTAACTATCTTTAGGTGTGGATTTAGGTGGAAACAAGTAATTAGACAACGTCGTGCAATGTTGTGGAGGTGGTTCAATACTTACAAGGTAGGTGAATTATATTTAAATTGAGTTTATAAAATTTAATTAAATACTTATGCACTTTTAAAATATTACAAATTAATGTTCATGAATTTTCTATTATTATTTTAGCTTGACAATTCTTGTTTATACATATGACATATTACTTAGAATATTAAAGTAAATAAATAATTTCATGCTTAAGAGATACAAAAGTTTCTTTACCGAAAAACATTAAAAATCATATGATGCGTTGAATAGTTTCTAATTCTTTGATGAATATAAATATTATAAAGTGTATGTGCATGTTGAGCCGGAAGTATCAAACAAATGATAATGGAGTTCTACGGAGCCAAATGGTAAAGTGGTTTGCAAAAACCAAATGGTAATATGGTTCTTCGTAATCAAATGATAAAAGATGCTAAAAGACTGTATATCTGATTAGTACAAACACTAGTACTTTCGGGACGGGTGTTTATCATATTATAATTTTGAAAGTTATGCATTTAATGAAATGATTTAAGGAAAAAGAAAATTTATGGAAAAAAAGAAAAGAATGATATGGAAAAAGGAAAATGTCTTAAGAATGATTATTGAAACTGTTTTATAAATTCCTGCATAAATGTTTATTATGATCTTTATTATTTCATGCTTAATGACATGTTTAAGAAAGATAAGAAAAATAATTTATGAATTTGAGATAAATGTTTTTCACCTGCTGAGCGTTGGCTCATCCTACGTTTGAAAATATTTTTCAGGAGAAATTATTAAGAAGTGATGGCTACAAGATGACTATATACCTACCGTCGTAGAGGACCTCAAGAAGAAGAAAAGTTTTTTATGTTTTATGTTTTTTGTTGAATCTTTGATCTGTATCTGTGTAGTTTGTGAGAGTTTATGTAAAGTTGATGATTTAAGTTTTTAGTAGTTTTGTGAGAAGAAATAAATTTGAACAATTATGTTATTGATGTTTTCTTAGTGACTATTTCTTATTTTATATGTTGAGGATATTCAAATTCTGTTATAAAAGTTTATATGAAATGATTATGTTTATGTTATGATGTTTTCCCGTACGACTGTTTGCTCCCGCCTCGTTAATTCGGGCTAGCCAGCTCGGGTCGTGACACTTTCTGAAATGCATAATTATTTTCTTGAAGAAGTAGGATTCAAGCCCCTTGTCACCTAGTGATAATGCATTTCCCTGTCATACATCCGAGGTTTAGACAATGGAATTAGTATAAGCTGTCTTTAGAGTGGATGCTATATAAAGTCTAATTATGGATAAATAGAGAGGTATGACCAAAGTCACCTTAAAACATTCCATAATTTTGGACTAGTTCGTTTTTCAACAAGATTTCTTTTTCTTGATAGGCATGTGAAAGTGTTTTAATTTTTTTTGTATATGCTCGCACATTCGTCCTTTTTGTAGGGATGCTCTGGTGCATTTGAATTTTATGGGCATTTGAATTTTAATGCTAATTGGAGTTCATGGACATGACATTGTAATGAAAGGATAGATGAGAAGCTCAATTTATTTAGAAATGAGAAGTTATTATTAGCTTATGATTGCATAATAATGTTTAGAAAATGTGATGTCATAGAAGATCTTTATTTGATCTTATGCCACCTTCATCATCACTTGCATTTACAAATGGAAAATGATGATTCAGATGCCGGTCCCCAAATAGTTGGGATAACGATAATGATGACAATGATAAACAAATATGGGAAAAAGCAATGGTAATTGCAGAGTGTTTAATGTGTCAGTATTTGATTCATGGTAGACACTGTTCACTCTGCTCATATTGGGTTTATGCTTATGTGCTTTATGTGTTGGATCAATTATCTGTGTGCTTTTGTAATTCTGGCATGTGCTTGGGATCTTCATTTTCTATAGAAGGATGTTGCAATAATTACATGAACTTTTTTTTTTAATTAGACCTTTTTAAAATATCCTCTGGAGGCATTTGAAAAAGAATGTATATCATGGTTATGTGGCTAATGTTAATAACTCTGGCAAGTCTTTAGGGATTGTATACTTTCTTCTTAATTCTTTAGCGAAGGCCATAAACAACAACTTGTGAAGATAAATGTGTTCGGTCTTATTTGTGTGATATGGCTTTTACATGTGAATCTTATGCGGATCTGTGAATCAGCATGTATAGTAGCTTAGTAGTACTCAAAGCCCAATCTATAGGATAGTTTTTATTAAGCAATTCATTTATCTCTGAAAAACATTGATATTTCTTGTGATAGCATCAACAAACATTTAGTTATATATTTTGTGCTTTCTGAAGCATATGTCTTTGAAATTTTTGGTATTTCTTGTGGCAGCGTTTTGATATTACAGGTCTCTATTGCTTAAAAAGATCTTATGTTCTTTTCATGTCTTACTTAAATGTTGTCCGGGGCAAAGTAATGATATGGCTTTTGCATGAGAATCTTATGCTGTTCTGTTAATCAGCATGTACACTAGCTTTGTAGTACTCAAAACCCTATCTACAGGATAGTTTTTATGAAGCAATTCATTTATCTGTGAAAAGCATTGATCTTTCTTGTTGTAGCATCAACAAACATTTAGTTATGTATTTTGTGTTTTCTGAAGCAGCGCATCTGTCTTTGAAAAGTTTTGGTATTACTTGTGGCAGTGTTTTGATATTACTGGTCTCTATCGCATAAAAAAGATCTTATGTTCTCTTCATGTCTTACTTAAAATGTTTTCTTGGGCAATATGATGCAGATTCTATACTTTTTCCTGATGCACCAATTGCGCTGCGGCTGTCTAGTCATCTTCTACTTGGTGTGGTGCGGATATACTCCAAAAAGGTGAACTATCTTTTCAATGACTGTAGTGAAGCTTTGATCAAGATAAAACATGCATTTCGCTCAACAGCAGTTGATCTTCCACCGGAAGAATCAACCGCACCATATAATTCGATTACCTTGCCAGAAAATTTTGACCTCGACAATTTTGAGCTACCTGACAGTGCCTGCCTTGATAGGTAAGCTGTGATACCTGTCCTTATGTAGAGTTTGTTTGAAGTACATGTTTGGCATTCTATGTAAATTTGTTTAATTTCCCTGTGCGCTCGTATCCTCTTCTTTTATGTGATCTTCAAACTAATGGATGTAAACACTCTCTAGTTATGTTAACTAACTTTCTATTGTTTTGCAGTAATTTTGTGGACCATCATGTTAGCACTAGAGAGCAGATTACTCTTCAAGATACAGTAAATGATTCTACATACCCAACAACAAAGTTTGGGCTAGATGGTCAGTTCTTAAGAACAACATATATTTGGAATCATGTATATATTTTCTACCCATGATTTGATGTGATTTTTTATTTGTGCAGAAAGGTTTGGTGATGAGGATGCTTCTCAAATAGGTTTGGAGCTTGATGAGGTAAAGACTATTGTGTTTATATTTTTCTATTGAATTTGTTATTATATTCTCTTTTATGACTTTGTCAAATCATCATCTTCACTAGCTTATCCCAACTATTTATCTCACAAATGTTTTACAGAAACTTTTAAATGCTAAATCTTAATTGTTCTTGTTGTTGCTATGGGAGAGATCATATGCATTTCTTGTAATAACACATGAAAAAGATCTTTTTTTTGTAAGCTTAAGGAATTTGTGTAACACCCCACAATACCCCTAAACAGAACTGTAAAGTGTAACATGAATAACATAAACAATTTTCTTTTCTTGATATTTAATACAACTTCTCTTTTTAGAAGATCATATAAATCATCTAACCATAATTCAATTTATATATCAACGAAAGCAACTTATAAATTAGAACCTCAATAAACATACTTACAGATCCACTAAGGAAATTCAAATAAGATCCATTTCTGAAAAGTTTTCATACCTTACCAGAAGATTCACTAACAAAGATAGCTTTAACATAAAAAGAAGAAATAAATTGCAATTAGTCATCTCCGATCTTTTCTTTTTCCTTTTCCTGTAACAACAGCCAGTAAGAAAATACTGGTGAGCTATGAGGCTCAATAAGCTTTGCAAATTTAAATAGCATTTGACTTGCATGATTATAAAATTCATAATATTGAAAACATAAATAAAAGTTAAATTACTTGAGAAAATTTCATAAAATCTCATTTCATATTAACCTTTATATTCTCTTAAATCTATCTTGAATATCAATTTTACTCATTAAAAAATTTGACTACACTTTTATAACATTATTTAATAGAGCTCAGGTAAACCTGACATTATCGCCATTGAATTACATAGAGGTCCCTTTTGCCTCTTTAGGGGTCTTTTTCCCCCACCTGCTATGCATGTATCATATTCTCTGGGGTTCCTTTTGCCCCTCATGTAATACATGTATATTATATGGGGTCCCTTTTGTCCCACCTGTAATTACAGTTATACATCATTTGTAGCCAAACTTTACTTTTCAATTGATATTCACAAAGCTTTTCAGTGTTCATAAGTCATACTTAAGTTATTGCATTTTTTCATAATCATTGTTGTGATCACCAGTGTACAATTAAAATGCACACCATAAGCAAGTAAATTGACATCTTTTCAAAACAGTATCAAATATGAAAACATTTAGATTAACATACTAAACCTTGTTTTACACTTACCTGATTTCATTATGTATCTGGTTGTTCATACATGAAAACTTGAATTAAAAATACTTTATACATTAAACAAATTTCAGAACCTTTTACTTTAATGCATTCAAAATCATTCTTCATGCTTATAAATGAAAGTTCTTAAATTTGAATATAAATGCATTACTTACATCCTTTACGAGTGATCTCTTCCAAACCTACATCACGTAACCTTCTTCTTTGATACACTAACTCAAAACCTTATTTCTGCATAAATATATGAATAATCCTACAATATAATTGATATAGTTGCTTTAGGAACTATTATCAAATTTATAAAAATCTGAAAACAATTATAAAATTATCATACAAACAATTTGCTTACCTCTATCATCTTCCCTCAATTTCCTTCTTTCTTTTCTCTTCTCCACTCAACTTCTTCTTCATTTTTGTTATTTCCTGGATGGCATAACAATTCTACACTTCACTCTCTAACACTGTTATTTATCTACTTTCCTATAATTCCACTGTCAAAACCCATAAATCAAGGAAATAAGAAAAATTGCATTACAGGAATCCAATTTCTTAGCCCTGCGGAAATTCAATTACTTACCCTGCCTTGCACTGAATCCACAAAGTAAACCAAATTTCTTTTTCTTCAGCTTTTGCACTATGCGCAGCCCTCTACCTACAGGGAGAATTCCGCCTCTTGCTACAGGAGGATTTGCGAATTCCCTGAACAGGCTTTGCGGCTTTTTCTACTGTCCCGAGAGAGCACCCAAATCTGCTACTGAACCCTTCCTTTCAATGTGCTGTATTTCTTCTACAGAATTTGGCCGAAATCTTCCTCTATGTGCCGAACTTCTCTACAAGAGTGCAGTGCCGAATGCACCATCATCCTTTTTTTTCCAACACAGCCTTTCCCAAGTCTTTTTTCACCCGTAACTGCTTTATATTATGTCTAATTGCTGTTGCGAAATTCCAAACAGAGGAATTAGGTGTAAGAGGGCCCACACACACTTCCTTAACTGCTATCATTCTTATCCAATGAAAATATCCATTTCCAAATCTTGGCTGCCGTGAACTGTTATCTTTATTTACACTTTTAGAGAAAGCATCTTTTCAAAATTATGATGCAATTATAACTTATCAAAGTAAATTACTTAACAGTACATCTTTACTTAATACTTTACTATTTTTAACTTAACTATTTTAGTTCTATTAATTACAGTTAGCCTTAATTTAGCAACTAGAGATTATTAAACTTCAAATTAAATTTTAAAAGTATAATTAAATAAATTTACATTCTTCATACCTGAATGCTGGACCTTACAATTTGAAACCTCTTGCTTGATTTCATTTGAAGGCATATCTTAATCCAATCACCATGCTCAGTAGTATTAAACTGCTAAAATCAACTGTAGACAACTATTTTGGGCATTATGTCAGTTGGTTCTTAATCTGACAAATGTCTCAATTTTATCTGTATTTCTTTTAGGAACTATTCACAGACAAGAATGTCTCAACTCAACATGATGAGATTTCAATGAGTTTGAAAGTGAGGTAAGTTTACTTTTTCTGTATCCTTCACGATTGCATTTTATATATGTTAAACCATAGCAGATAAGCTGTTACTTCTTTTTGGCTCTTGTAATGGTTAGGTCTCTCCATTGCTGCTTTTGTGATATCTAATATGCTTCTTGATTAACTCACTTTGAGGTTTAACTTATTCAAGTGATACCATTATTTATATGCCTTGCTGTTTAGTTTTTTTAATTGTGTTGATCTATTTCAACTATTTCTCTTTAGTGGGTTGCACCACGGTGAAACTTCTGTTCATTCAACTACCATGGGAATGGATGCACCGTTTCAATATCATGAGGAAAGAGGCAGTGAAATCCCGAATGAATTGTCAGAGCTTCTTTCTAATAATTTTAACAAGAACTGTTTTTCAAATGCGGAGGAATTGAAGAGGGACGTAAATTCTTGTCATCGACATGGTTATACTATTCAAACTCCAGACCTGAATGAAGTTTTCCAACCTGAGCGTCATACAGGTTTATCACCGCATATTCCTTTAATCCCAGATGAAGTTATAACTCCATGTTTGGTTGAGCATGCACAAGAGCCTTCAACTCCTGGGTTATTAGAAGTGGTTCCATCCAATTTTCAAGAAGTTCCGGCTTTTAGTCCACTGGAAAAAACCAAGACACATGTTGAATCATGTAGACCTCGGAGTTGTAGTCCTTACTTTGAGGTTGAATCAGCTGAAGCAGGAAATGAAACTGTTCTTATAAGTGCAGAATTAGGCCATAGGGCTGGAGAAACTGCTCAAGAATTGCCTCTTACTTCAGTTTTGACCAGTCCAATGACTGAATCTCTAGCACCTACTTATTCAAATTGGAATCTAACAACTGATGATGTTTGCTTAGTTTCTGTGGCTGAATATCAGCAGAGTGGCTTAACTGGCAATGAAGTCAGTAATATATCAACTGGTGATCGCAGGCTTGATAATGGGAAGGCTATAAGTCCTCCAAGTTTTTCTCATGAAGCAATTAATTTTTCATCCACATCTAATTTGACCGTACATGTTGAAGAAGAGCCTTTTACTTCCAATATTTGTACAGATAATAAGGATGTATCAAGAGGCATTTCAGATGTGAAAAGGATGCAACAAAAGGATAGTAAAGAGCCATCAAAAGTTGCCAACCTAGGTCCTGTAGAAGCTGGTGATTCTTGCATTTCTATGTCTGTAGGTGGATCTGATTTTCTTTCGAGAACTTGTGGTTCAAATCTCCATGCCAGTTTCTTACATGGTGTTCCTTCATTATTTCCTCAAGAAGCAATTAATCCTTCATCCCCTCCTAAGGTTGCAGCACGTTTTGAACCGGAGCCTGTTACTTCCAATATTTATACTGATAACATGGATCTATCAGGAGGTATTTTAGGTGTTAAAAGAACACAAAAAAAGGATTGTGATGAGCCATCCCAAATTGCTAACCTATGTCGTGTAGAAGATGGTGATTCTTGCATCAGCTCATCCGTTGTTGGATCTGATTTTCTTTCAAGATCTTGTGGATCAAGTATGCATCCAATTTTCTTTCATGGTGATCCTACGGGTTTTTCTTATGAAGCAGTTAATATGATACCCCCTAGAAAACTGGAAACACATTGTGAAGCGGAGCCTGTTATTTCCAACATTTGCACAGATAACATGGATGTATTAGGAGTTATGACACAAAAAAAAGATGGTAATGCACCAACACAAGTTGCCAATCTAGGTCGTGTGGAAGATGTTGATTCTTGCATCAGTACATCTATGGTTGGATCTGATTTCTTTTCAAGATCTAGTTCAAATCTGCATCCCATTTTCTCACAATGCGATCCTTCTGGTTTTTCTCATGAAGTAGTCAAAATGACATCCCTTCCTGGGCTGGGTGATCCTTCAAATTTTTCTAATGAAGAAATTAATCTGACACCCCCTCCTACTAACCTGGCAAAACGTTTTGAAGTACAGCCTGTTACTTCCAATATTCGCACAGATAACATGGATGTAGCAGGAAGTATTTCGACCATGAAAGTGACACAGAATAATGATAGCAATGAGCCATCACAAATTGCCCACCTAGGTCGTGTGGAAGTTGGTGATTCTTACATCAGTACTTCTGTGGCTGGATCTGATTTTCTTTCAAGATCTGGCAGTTCAAATTTGCATCAGTCAAGTTCAATCTTAGCCGATCGGGCTTTGGGAGAAGCTTCTGAGCTGTCTCTCGGGGATCATTCATGCAGTCTGAAAATACCAATGAGGGAGGAGGTGCTGCACAATTTCAGATCTTCATTTGAGGTGCAAGGTTTGTTTGACTCATGGGTGCTCATTACATTCTTTAAACTATGGAATTAGGCAGCTTGAATATTATAAGCAATTTGTAATATTGAAATGTCATATGCAAATACCGCAGTTTGTTAGGAGATATATGTTTTTTTTTGTTTTGTCAGGTGAGGATTTGCGCAATATTAATGACAGAGTCATTAATCTGGAGGGCCAGCATATGTCAAGATGTACACCCTCTGATTTCAACTATGGAGCCAGTAAGATGGATGAACTGTCAATGGGTGTTTTTTCCAAAGCAACCCATTTCAATAATGTTAAGTTCTCTCCCTCTTCTGAATTTCTAGGACCGGAGAAGATGCTAGCCCCTAGTTTTTCTGTCAATTTTCCAACTTATCAAGGTCTGCAAGCTCCAGATAAGGGAGTGGCAGAATCTGATGGAAGTATTGACAGAAATAGCAGTCATTACAGCAGAAAGCGACGAGAAATGGATAGTACTTCAAATCTGCAAACGGGTAGTTCAGCCAAATTTTCTGGAATACCAAGAAGCAGAAGAAGTTCCGATTATGTTCCTGCTGATGATGATGCATTGGTATCTATTTTAGGTATGCAAATGGTTTAGATTTGTATACTATTTCTTTATAGATTATCAAAATTTCTGAATTTATTGTCTACATCTGATATTTCGAAGTAACTCATTCTATATTTATTTTAACCATATGGTTGATCGCTCAGCGGGAAAAACGGTTCCATCGTTGGAAATAGGCTCCATCCCATCTCTTTCCAAAGCGCCATCTCAAAAGCGACCTCGCACAATGCCTAAGCTGGGCATGCATAAGAGAAGGAAGGTGCTGATGGATGATGCTATGGTTTTACATGCTGAGTATGTTTCCTGGATTCAAAATTTGATGTTTTGTGTATCTATGAATATCAGAAAAAAAAATCCTTACTTTCTCTTTAATTGCATTTAAATAGATGTTCTTTATTCATTTCAGATGAATTACTATTGTATTGACGTATTGATTTGCTAAATTTAACATTCACCAACTAATGAACATGAAATATAATTCAAAATATTTATGTGGTTATTTACATGGGTAGCATTGATTTTTGTATCATCATCATCATGAACTTTATCTCTACTAGTTGGGGTAAGGGCACGAATCCTTATTTTTTTCATTCATGTTCTGTTGGTTTTGAACTAATTAACATGAAATATAATATAGGTTTCATTGAACAATGATTGAATTTTGATCAACTTTGCTATAAGTTATTTGAACAATGTTCCATCATTGATAAAATTTTTTTTGGATCTTGATCGAAGCATTATTTGAATTATGATCGAGACTTCTTCGAATCTTGTTCAGAATTACATATTAAACAGTGTTATGAACTGAACATATTTTGATCAAGCTTATAATAAGTTTCCAGCAATGTTTGATGCTGGAAATATCATTTGTAATTGCTTTCTGGGTTTAGGTTTCAATACACAAACATATAATATTGTCAGAGATAGAAACTTTGCCAAATATATAACATCTCTAATATTTAATGATAATCGTTGGCTAGCCAAAGATAGAGACATAAATGTTTCCTTGGTACTTTACCTTAGAACAATTTCTCGTGAACGAGAATTGATGGAGAAGAAAATGGTGCTAAAAATAAGAAGTTTCCATCAATTTCTTGCTCTAAAGGTTGCTTACATAACACAAGACCATCTTTTTGAATTCTTGGGGTATTTTAGTTTGAGCAAGTCTTCTAATATTATTATTTGATAATTAGTAATATTAAGCTCATTAAAATTCTATAAGAATTGATAATTGGTATTATTATGCCCATTAAATTTGTATATCATATACTTGATATTGATTTAATTCTAATCACGGTATTTTCTATACATTTTCTAAATTATTCTAACTTTTTGTATATTTTAGTGGATATTTTATAGATTAAAATTGACATTTGAGAAAAGTATATACCGAGATACTTCATTCTAAATTTTTTGTCAGCATCTTCAGAAACTATATAAAGAGATGTGGACTCAATTTTGATTTATTGATATGAAATAGTAGCGTGATTGGAAGCTTTTTGTCACTCAACATGTACTTATAATATTAATCTATGCTCTATTATATTAATAACTTACAACAACATACCTTGGATGCGCAGTTTTTATTTGTAATGTGAATCAAATCAATTCTTGTGGTACTTGAGTGTGTGTTTTCTCTTGAATTTTTAAATCTCGATAAGTATGGCCTATGGACCAATTTACCTTTGTGCCTTATATTTAAATATAAATTCACTTCTTTTATTCTATCATTTTTCTCTTTGCAAGACTTCTAGCTTTTGTTTTGCCTATGCTCTGTTTTGCCATCTTTTAAAAGCACATTTTTTCCTTGCTGTTTTTATTTGCGTACTCCTCCATAGACTATGCTTATTAATGTAACAATTGTTTTTAGTCCCTCCTAAACCTTTTATGAGATACTTCTTAATTGAACTAGCTTTCTCCCACTTTAGGTTAGGCTCAATTAAAGAATTCCAAAATTTCCCTCCTTATTGACATATTTTGAAAGATAAAAAATTTCTCACGTTTCAAATTTAACCCTCTAATCAGAGGGTAATTTTTTGTTTCTTTTGACCATTTTTGTTATACGACTAGGATATACATCCATTGCTATTACTCAATGTTGCGTGCTCATACTTTCTTTTCCATTTGTCTTCAAATCTTACTTTCTTTTCCATTTGTCTTAAAATCTTTGTAAAAGAAGATTTTTTTTTTATACAACAACAACAACATCATCAAGCCTTTATCCCACTATGTGGGGTTGGCTGCATGAATCCTTTTTCTCCATTGTGGCCGGGCCGGGTAAGAGTCAAATTATCATTTATAAAATTTCTTTCTTTATAATTACAAAAAAATATTTTTGACTTGGTAGTTCCATTTATTAATGTATTAAGTGCCTTTTCTTATGCATGACCATAATTTAATGAAATCATATATGGTTTTTCCCATTACATTTCTATCTTCTATTTCATAGTCTCTACAAATCCTCTCATAGTTATCCTACTAGAACTTGTCTACTAGTGTTGCTCCTACAAGTGTCCTTTCTTCTATGATGATGATGATTAACCTTACCCTTAAAGCTTAAATATTACATAACTAGATTTCTTACGGACTAATTGTAACTTTACTATCACTCTAGTAAATTGGGTGACCTGGAGGATAACCTCACCCCTAGGAGGCGTGATATCACATACTATTTTCTTATTCTTCTTGTGTATCGGCATTGAGTTGCACTGTGATCATTGAATTGAAAGTCTATTGAATCTTTCCTGTCCTTGCAAAGCTGAGGCGGGCATGTAGATTGCGAAGATCCCCTATAGATGAGGGTTGTGGAAGGCTAGGAGGAATTTCTTTAGGTCTAACTATGTCTTTGAAAAACAGATGGGTTTCAGCCTTGAGCCCTTGAAAAAACTGCCTCAGGTGAGTTTCATCTTACATAAAAGGAGATGGAGATTAAAAAGAAGAAAAAATCTGTAATTGTAACCTGACTATTGGAGTGGAAGTAGAAGAAACATTGACTGGAGTAAAAATCTTCAAAGAATATTTTGAAGTATTCAGGGTAATCGGGGTTCTAGGGTTTTTTTGTAAAATATAAGAGATGATGGGGCGACTTGTTTTGTATAAGATGTTACGATTATGTGCCCTTTTGATGCCAAATTAATTTCCATGTCACCATTGGTTAGAATCTATGCATCTTCCAATGGACTAAAACTAGCCAGTAGATGCAAACGAGTTAAGGTGTAATTGTTTTAGATTCGTTGAAGTTTACTTCTGGCATACATTCATCAACCAAATTTTAGTGCTACGGATTCCAATAACCAATAATTAAAATACAACATTAAATTGTTTTTTTAAATATGGAAGGCATCAAAATGAGGCTTCAGATGATTTGATGGGATGCGGCATCCTGTAAGAATGGCTACGAAATGCTTCTAGCTTTGTTGTCTTTATGCTTTTTATTTCTAGTAATTTTTAATTATTACATAAAAGGCCCCACTTCATCATTAATATCACAATTGGTATCTGCCCTGTGTTCAGCTGATTGCATGGCTTTGATGATAAATTTGATGAGGTTTGACATCCTTTGATGGCTACGAAAGAGTTCTTGACTGCTCCATTCTCGGTTAATTTTCTTCTTATTTCTGCACTTATGTTTAGTTTAATTTTGTTTTACCTGTTTTGTAAATATTCATTATACGGATGTAGTTGAATTATCTAACTGAATTGATAGTTTCTGCTTTGTATTCTTGATTTTGTTATTTCTAACTTTTTTAAGTTTCATTTATCAGTGCTATACGTCAACAACTAATAAACACGGAAGACATCCGCCGCATGCGGAAAAAAGCTCCATGTACTAGACCTGAAATTTGGAAGATTTACATGGGTGCAATGGAGGATGATATTTTTGGTCATTCTATATTAACTGGTAAGGATATAATGCAACAGCAGGATTGAACAAGTCAAATTGATTATCAATCCTTTCATTTTACTAGTTTATGTAACCGCAAGAATGGCTTGGGAGCTGGAACATACAAATTTGCAGAATTGTACAAAAACTTGCTCCTCAGATTGTCAGAGTCGTTCTAGCGCCGCCCTAGCACTTTTTAATATTGTTAAACTTGTGTTGAAATATTTTGCAATTCCTTTGCATATGAGAATTTACTGTCATATCCCCGGTTTATAGTGTTAGATTAGTAGTTTTTATATTTAATGAATTGACATGAATCTAAGCTGGTTGATACTGTTTCTAATTTTTAATCTGTCCACATACCAAACTAAAGCAACTTTAAGATGATTAGATTATAACATTTGCGGTTTGCATATCTTGTCTTTCCCTTCTTCCAGCATGAAGGGTGTTGGCTAATGCTCATATTTTCTAAATCCTTCAAAGCATAAATCTTATTTTGTCCTTTTCTTCTTTTTTTAGGTATAGCAGTGGAGCTAAATAGTCTGTATGATCTGAAATATGACATGCAAAAGGATCCAAGTTCTCAAGCCAAGGAGTATAATTCTCAGGTTAAAACATCAGGAGACACCGGGTCTTCTAGGGTCACAGAATTTATAAATGAAATGGGTGATAAAGAAATTGGTGAAAGAATCTCATTTTTTCCTGGAATAGTTGGTAGAAGTGAAGGTCCATTAAGCATAACTGCATTCGATACAGTGCAAACTCATAAAGGTGGTGCACAGTCTGATTTACATGATAAATTAGAAAGACGACATGTTCAGCCTCAAGCGGGATCATTCAACAATGAACAGGAGTCTGTGATTTGGGCAATGAAGCCAGATGCAGAGATATGTGCTGATTCAATTATTCAAGTGGATCCTGTCCTTGAAATCAACAAAAGTATTTCATCTTTCGAGATCGTTAATGATGAGAGCATTAATCTTGCAGAAAGATCACTGCACAATGCTGAGCGTAACCCTCCAACTACTAATGATGCCTTAACTCGTGATGAATCTGCTAACTTGGTCGAAGTAGATGGTGACACTGTTGTAGCTGTGATTTCAGAGTCTCCAATCAAGCCTGATATTACTTTTGATTCTGCGCATGCAATTGTCAATGAGGAAGAGAAAACTGGGCATGTCTTGGATGTTAAACTCTCAAAATCCAGTCACACTTTCTCTAATGATGGTGATTCAGGTGGAGCAATTGATGGCATTCCGGGTCATGTGCTACCAGACAGTGGAGCAGAGTTGCTACTAGAGAACAATAATGGGTCTGATGGTGTGGTAGACATTTATCATGCTGCAGAAGCCTTGGGGGATGGGGAGAGGCCTGTAACTGGTGCCACTTGTGCAGAAGTAGGTAACGTTGTTTGTGTTCCAAGCAGTGTAGAAGACGCTCCTTCAACAATGGATAAAAATAGTTGTATACAGGACTTCAAGCCTGAAGGTGGTTTGGATGTGGACAGCGTTCCTGTTGATGTTGATGTTGATGTTGATGCTGCACGGGATTCAAGTGTAAGTAGCATGCTTGCATATTTATATGCATATTACATAGGTAAAAACTGACTTATATTATATAGGTGAAAACTAAAGTTAAAAATATTATATATGTCTTAGTATATCCTTTATCCATTGTTATGGGCATGTCAAGTGGTTGTTTAGTCCCACAAACAATTTGTATGGTATAAGAATGCAGTGTGATGTGAACCCTAAACTTAACTTTGTAGACCAACTAATTTTCAACCAAGCCTTGCGACCATCACCATTCACTTATGAATAGTCTTATGTCCACCAATCCTTTCGACCATCTCCAATCATCTACTGCCTAATCGAAACAAATTTTCCTATTGTTGATTCCTGTACTTGATATTTTGACTTTTCTATTTCTATTTGCATCATTTCTTCTGTAAGTGATCATTTTTATTTTTATTTCATCTAACTTCTATGTCATTGTTACTCAGGATTTCTGCAGTGCAATTGATGACAACTACACAGGTACTCCCCTTCACAATAACCATTATTTATGAAATCATCTGTTGAACAAATATTTTTTTATATCTTCTTCCTTCTGGTATCTTATGTTCTTTTTGTTCATATATTACCTATTACATTGTTATTATTGTTTCTTTTCACCTTGTTATACAAAATAACATTTCGACTGCTTTATATGCTCTATCAAAATAATGCCATTCTTTCTTTTTTTTTTTAAAGAAATTCAAGCTCGTTACCTTTCATTAGAGAGCAAAGAAAAATACACTTGACCACCACCAGATCCACTATCCTTCTAGCCTCATCACTTTTCTGCATAAATATTTATATGATATCGTAATTGTTTTTTATTATAAAGATTGCAAGCTCTAGTGAAAAATGAGTCATAATCAAGTTGCCCAACAGATTTGTTCATTGATGCCATTTTTTTTGTAATTTTATAAGCATCTTCTTTTATACTTACTGGAAATTGGATTGCAACCTTATTTGCAAGGTTATAGGCTTAATGACTCCTATGCAATGGTTTGTTTCATATTAACCTTCTTTTTTAAAGAATAAAAATTTATCCTAAATATTTTATTATTCAAAAGTAGGATATAAGGCTAGTTGTAGATTAGTAGGCATGAGACTAATTGCAAATAAGGAGGGTACAAAGCGAGTGAATATTTAGTTAAAGTAGGTCACAGCCTCACATGCCATTGGCCATACTAGAACTTAATACCAGTATCTTTAAACCAAGGAGCACTCCCCTTGAGCTAGAGCTCTTTGTTTGTTTCATATAAACTTTAGCAAAGTGATTGTTAGGAGAGAAATGATTTAGTCATAACTTTTGACTTGTAATCTTTGTTTTGGCTTTATCGCTTTTTTGTCACTACCATAAGTGCATATAACAGATTTAAAAAAAATATATATTTTAAGCATTCTTTTCAGATTTGTAATTAGTATTACTACACAAAATAATGCCTTGATAACTATTTCATATTAAGATTTTTTTAAATTTTGCTCTATTTAAATTGCTCACACTTCTTTTTTTAAATTTTAAATATATTTAAAAAATAAGTCACTGAAATTTAAAGTGTTTTTCTTCTGAACTTCAAATTTTTTCTAATTTGCATGTCCAAATACTATATATATATATATATATATATATATATATAGTGCCTGATTATGCAAATTAGAACAAATTTGAAGTTCAGAAGAAAAACACTTTAAATTTCAGTGACTTATTTTTTAAATATATTTAAAATTTAAAAAAAGAAGTGTGAGCAATTTAAATAGAGCAAAATTTAAAAAAATCTTAATATGAAATAGTTATCAAGGCATTATTTTGTGTAGTAATACTAATTACAAATCTGAAAAGAATGCTTAAAATATATATTTTTTTTAAATCTGTTATATGCACTTATGGTAGTGACAAAAAAGCGATAAAGCCAAAACAAAGATTACAAGTCAAAAGTTATGACTAAATCATTTCTCTCCTAACAATCACTTTGCTAAAGTTTATATGAAACAAACAAAGAGCTCTAGCTCAAGGGGAGTGCTCCTTGGTTTAAAGATACTGGTATTAAGTTCTAGTATGGCCAATGGCATGTGAGGCTGTGACCTGCTTTAACTAAATATTCACTCGCTTTGTACCCTCCTTATTTGCAATTAGTCTCATGCCTACTAATCTACAACTAGCCTTATATCCTACTTTTGAATAATAAAATATTTAGGATAAATTACGATCAACCTCTCGAATTGAGGATCAATTGTATCTTGCTTGTGTTTGTTTTGTTTTGATTCCACTATTGCAATCTATCATCTTTTGGTTGATTTCACCCATATTTTTGTGTTATTTCTGTTGTTTTGACCAATTATTGCTAGGGTTGCTTGCGAACTCAAGTATTTCCTCTTGGATTACTTGTGAACTCAAGTATTTCCTATCAAATTAGTATCAAAGTGGGTCTTGGAACTGGTGGAGGGCTGATTTTGACAAATTTCAGTGGTTGAATTTTGACCGGTGAAGGAGGAAGTTGATGTTTTTTTTTCAATCTAGATTTTTTTGTATCTACATGAATCTGGATAGAGAAGACGACCAAAAAAGTGGATGGGTTGGAAAGAAGACTTAAAGGGGAGATGAATCAAATAAAGACAATGGTGGAGGACAGGATTTCCTCCATGGAAGGACAAATAACTGATCTCTGGAACATGATGAAGAAAATGTTAGAAATCTACAACCAAGCGGCGGCTTCAGTGGCAAAAGGGATAGAAGGGAAGAATATGAATTCTGAAATTCATAGGGAGGAATGTGAGGTGGAGATCGTGGAGGGAGAAAGAGGAAAATCCTATATGGAGCCTTTCCAGAGGGAGGATAGAGGAGGTATGTATTGTTGAAACTTGTTAATTATGAATTAGGTTGTTAGACCTAAGCTTATGTCCCAAAAGGCTAACCAAGAGGGGGGGGGGGTGAATTGGTAATTTAAAAAATT